TAACGTATCTAATTCGCTTTTAAATTTACTGATGTTTTCCATTTGTACTTCTTGCCACTGTTGTTGACTTTCCTGTAGTAGCTGCTGACTTTCCTGCAACTGTTAAAGACTTTCTTCCTGTTTCCTTTCTTGTTCTAGTTGCCACTATTGTTGACTTTCCTGTAGTTGCTGCTGACGTTCCTGCAACTGTTGGAGACTTTCTTCCTGTTTATTTTTTCCTCCAACCACTGCTGTAATTTCTCTTCTTGTTTCTTTTCTTTTTCCTCCAACCACTGCTGTAATTTCTCTTCTTGTTTCTTTTCTTTTCCTCCAACCACTGCTGTAATTTCTCTTCTTGTTTATTTTGTTGTTCGAGCTGCCACTGTTGCAGGTTTTCTTGCAACTGCTGTTGTCTCTCTTGTTTCTTTTCTCGCTCCTCTTGTTTCTTTTGCTGCTCTTGTATTGCTGCCATCAAGTCTGCTAAGCTGTAGTTTGATTTGCCGCTTCTCGTTTCCATTTTTTCGTCCCACTCTCTGACACCAATTTGTTACGCCTCCAGTCGTTAGTTAATTTTCCGTAAATTCTTTCCGACTAAACTTTAGCGACACAAGTCCTTTCTTAAATAAAACTGGTTTATTCTTTCCGAATACAACTTTACGATGCACTTAATTTCAACAGTCGCTCTATAACAAACGCTATAACTCACATCTCACGTGGCCAACAATATTCTGTCCGCATACATTCAATTACTCATTACCTCCCCGTCGCTTCGTGGCCGGTCTTATATATACAAGACTACACTATATCTAGAAGGATCACGAGATTTAAGGAAAAGACGCGAATGTTCGAGAATGACGTGGCGTGATACTAGTCACGTGACCTCGATGTCGTAACACAAATATCCTATTGTGTTGCTTTACACTTAGCTACAAACAAACAAACTGGGATGTGGGACGTTGTGGGCTTGGCTAGGATGTGGAAAGTTGTATGCTTGGCTATGATTTGGGACAGTGTAGGCTTAAGTGGGATGTGGGACGTTGTGGGCTTGGCTGGGATGTGGAAAGTTGTAGGCTTGGCTATGATTTGGGACATTGTAGGCTTAGGTGGGATGTGGGACGTTGTGGGCTTGGCTATGATTTGGGACATTGTGGGCTTGGGTGGGATGTGGGACTTTGTGGGTTCGACTACGCTCTCTGGTAATTATATTTTAATTTTATGTATCTTAATTATATCTTAAAATTCTATTTTCACTTTTTCAGTTTGTGAGGCAGTAGATATGTTTGGTAGAAGATGTATCGTCACCGCAAGGTGGTTCCTGTTTGTACAGAAATATTTAAAACCAGGATATATTTTACCACCAGAAACTACTGCCATCCATGGGGTTATATTTGTTACCCTGCTACTTAGATCTATCGATATTTTTTCTGTGAAGAAAATGTGTTCCTTAACTAAATTATATGTTTATTATCAGAAGTTTGGTCAGACTGGTTTTAATGCTTTTCTACATATTGATGTAAAACTTTATATATTCGTATATTCTGTTATTCATAGTTTTATATATATATATACAGCATTAACAAGCTATTAGTTGTAATATAAATTACATGTGTATGAGTAATTTATATTACAACAAAGTAGGATTACTGGGTATTAAATTTACACAAACACATATATACTGTGATGTAATAATGAGACGACTAAGTTAACTACTCCCTCAGTTTGTAGAGTAACAAACTAATTATCATCTGTACTTAATGTGTGTTTATTAGAAAAACAAGTAAGATACAGATCTGCTTTTTCAAAAGACTTATAACACAGTTTTTCGATCAAATTTATTGAAAAATAGAGTATTAAAACCACATGAATACTAAATAGTTTTATTGTTAAGAAAACAACCAGTTGAACAGTTTGTCTGTAAAGTATGATTCGATATCCAAAAGTGCATAAGAGTTAATTATTTTGCTTTCTGAGATATCATGTTGCTATATTTACTACCACTCAACGTGTTAATAACGCGTGTTGTTAAAACTCGATAAACACAGCAATATAGACACTGATTCATACATATACCACTGCAACAGAAGTCCAACGATTTTTTAATCTTATATAATTTTACATTGTCGAGAAGACATGTAAAAAAAACGTAGGGGAAAGTATAAATAAAATTATCAACAACGCATAAAATGTTTATCCACACATTTAGGGTTAAACAGAAAGTGTCGTTTATCGTCACTCACTAAAAAAAAAGAAAAGAAAATGAGAAGACAAAATGTAATAAACTCGAACTGGTTTGAAACCCAGACTTAAAAAAAATTATAAAATATTAGAATCTTATTTTAATTCGTTGCGTTCCGCCTAAAAACATGAAAGCAAGTCGAATCTATACAAGTCAAAAATTCTTGAAGTAGGCGTTCAAGGGACTATTTTTCATATTAACCCTATATGTTTCCTGTATTAGCTAATTTCACTGATTCGTTATATAACACTTAATTCTGTATAAAAGCCTCATCAACAAACGCACATATCCAGTATGCTTTTTTTTTGTATGTTATTTCGTTTCTTTATAATACAATAATCAGTATTCTAAAAAATTTTGCAAAAAAAAAAACATTTCTAACAACGAAATCATTAAACAATTCACTTAGGCCTAATGTATACAACAAAAATAACTGCTCTTATACTACTAGCCCTGATGAAGCCGTGATGGCGAATCGTTGGATGAAATAATAGATTATTATTATCTGGAGATTAAAGATAATTTTGTGTAACTTTATGGCCAAATCTATATTTAGTTATTCAGTATGAGCCTTAGTAACTACATTAACACAGTAATGTTTTAGGCTAGAAATTCGGGTTTCTAAGTGAAGATAGAAATCTTCAAACCGAAAGCTTCTGAAGAAACTGATACGTGAAGTATCCGTCAGCAAAAAAAAAAAAAAGAAAAAAACTTTTTTAACAATACTAAAGGCTGTTCAGCTTTTACAATAGAAAAAAGTTTTAATTACATCGACGTTACACATGCGGCGTCTTTTGAGATTAACACCTACAGAGGACCAGTAGCACTAGCAGTACCACCTACTAGTAGCACCAACACAAATAATTTTGTATTAGTTTAGTTATTAGTTGTTCCGAGCCTATTATAAAAAGAAAGCGCGAAGCGTTTGAACTGATCAATATTACATTTGGTGAAAAGGGACCAATTTCTGCCCAAAGGCTTGTTGTGGAAAATATCTTTCCAGAGGCTTGGATTAGTGAAAGATATGTTAATGAATTATCTAATAAGGGACGGGGAGGATGATTAGGCGATACTTTCGTAAGCGTGATATATAAATCAAAAACTAACTTAAAAGTAAAAAGGAACGTTATGTGTATTCCTCCACCAAATGATACTAATTAATAGGCAGCCATACTAAACACTGGCGAATATTTAAATTTTTTTTTTTGTTCTTGTTACTTTTATAATTTTTTTTTTTTCAATACAGAATAAAGTTTGGAAAATTTCATATTAATAGCACCTGATTTTGTTATGGAACATGAAAATAATTAACTCAAAATATTGTAATAATTTAATAAAGTTCTGTTTTATATTCATCAGACTGGTGTACAAATTTTGATAACATTTTAGTGCATCCTATTCAGTGTATCCATAACATATACTAAGATCTATAGTTTTAACACTAACAAACAATATATATGCACGTATACATTTCCTTATGCTTATTTTTTTCGATTACAACTATAGTTTTTATAACCCTGAAATTTTAATTTATAAATTTCGACAACTTAATAAAAAATTAAAAAAGATAAATGATGTGACAGAAACACTATTTCTTCAGTTTAATTAAAAAGTGACCGCAAAAGGTTTAGTACATCATACCACGTGAAAGAAACTATGAAACCAGCTTGTGCCGCCATCTGTTGATGTTTATGATATAAATTTCCATAAATAAATAATACATAAAATTCTAAATCCGTAGACAATTTCTTTATCCTTGTATTAGTATGTATACAATTTGTTCTGTATGTACCAGCAGTTATACATTTTAGGTTCCTTAAATGTGTACTTGGGTTTTTACGTTTTATGGTTTTTGCTCTGAAACCTATAAGCTGTAAAAAAATATTTTAAGTTTTTAGATTTTGTATTTTGAACTATTATTTATTTAAATACGGTTCGACATGAGTTAATTATATATATATATATATATATATGAATGTATTTATAGTGTTGATTATGATAAGCAGTATAATCGTCACGAAACTTGAGATTCTAAACCTCAAAACCCAATATTTAAAACTGTTTCTTTAAACACAAGTAAATTACTACACTCAGGTATTTAGACATTGAGATCTAAAAATTTTCGGTATTGTGTTTTAATTAAAATATGAAATATTTGAATATTTACCAACAGATGGCGCCAGCAATGAATACCTTTGAACAATTACCATGATTAACCTCTTGTAGCTTTGAAATCCTCTATTGGTTTTTTGTTGATTTCGTTGTAGTAAGGGAGTTCAGTTTCCAAACGTTGTAACCAGTCCTGAACCTTTTGGAAACCATGAATCTTGTAGTCAATAACCTGGACGTTAGAGAAGAGAAGGACGTCAACTTTTAGTAAGGGTAACAAAGCATTTTATGAATGGAAAAATTTCCAATTATAAAGAGTTGTCATTTTATTCAGCTTATGCTGGCCACATCTATGATTACACGAATGTGTGTTATAAATCAGGATTTGGTTAAAAATATTTATTGGTTATTAAATTGAAAGCCTATTTGAAGTACGTGAAATTGTCCGCTAGGTGGTTTGGGCGAGCATGTTCGGTGACGAGGATTCGAACCCACGACCCGCAGATAAAGTCGAGCGCCCTAACCACCGGGCCTCCGCCAGTTTTTCATTAACAACCACTTCTTCCCCATTTCTAAGTAATGGGTTTTCATTATCTAAAGCTGCAATTATTTGAACACTTGTTATATCGGAGGATCTGTGTCAAGAAGGTTACTCTCCCCTCGTTCACAAAAACTAAGTAAAACCACTTTTTTTATGGACGAGTGAGATTCAGAAATTACAGGTAGGAGGACAACATAAGTTATCCCTTGTCAGGTAGGAAGACACAACATAAGTTATCCCTTGTCAGGTAGGAAGACACAACATATGTTTCTTCTCAGGCAGGAGACAACATAAGTTACTTGTCAGGTAGGAGGACAACATAAGTTTCTTGTCAGGTAGGAGGACAACATAAGTTTCTTGCCAGGCAGGAGGACAACATAAGTTACTTATCAGGTAGGAGGACAACATAAGTTACTTGTAAGGTAGGAGGACAACATAAGTTATTATCAGGTAGGAGGACAACATAAGTTTATTATCAGGTAGGAGGACAACATAAGTTTCTTGTCAGGCAGGAGGACAACATAAGTTTCTTGTCAGGTAGGAGGACAACATAAGTTTCTTGTCAGGTAGGAGGACAACATAAGTTTCTTGTCAGGCAGGAGGACAACATAAGTTTCTTGTCAGGTAGGAGGACAACATAAGTTACTTGTCAGGCAGGAGGACAACATAAGTTTATTGTCAGGCAGGAGGACAACATAAGTTACTTGTCAGGCAGGAGGACAACATAAATTCTCATACTAACGAGACATAGATGATTTAAAATGCTATTTTTTATAAAATCTAAAAAGGTTTAGATCAGAAATACTGTTTCAAAAAATACAAATTTCACATTATTTTAAGGGGTTAGTTAAAACTTAAACTTTTTTGGAACAATTTATCCTAGTTACTTGAAATACGCCCGAAGAAAAAACTTATTGTAGCCTTATTGCTTCAAATACATCGGACAAAAATAACATTTATTAGCACCTACTTCCAAGAATGTTAGACCAGCAAGTATAGAAATATCTGCCAGCGTTAGAGAGTCTCCAGTCACGTATTTCTTGTCTCCAATGAACTGTTCGAAAATTATAAGTGCTTCTTTGAATTGGTTTTCTTGATTTGTGTCAATTTCAGTCACTTTCCCGAACAGTTTCGGAATCTACGATAATAGATTAAACAATAAAGTTGTGGAATCTACGATAATGGATTAAACAATACAGTTTGTAATGTACAATAACGGATTAAACAATACAGTTTGTAATGTACAATAACGGATTAAACAATACAGTTTGTAATGTA